CCTGTGCTGCTGAGGGGGAGGAGGTAGAGAAGTCAGGAGCAAAGTAAAGCCCGGGAAGAAGCAGGGAGGAAAGGTGTTTTTAAGATTTCATTTTTATTTTACTAATTATCCTGATTTGATAGGTAATAAGTTAAATTATTTTCCCCGAGTCACCTCTGTTTTGCCTGTGATGGTAATTGGTGAGTGATCCCTCCCTGTCCTTATCTGGACCCATGAACCTTTAATTCTATTTTCTCTCCTCTGTTGAGCTGAGGAAGTGAGTGATAGAGCAGCTTTGGTGGGCACCTGGTGTCCACCCAGGTCAACCCATCATAGCAGAATAGGTGGGAAAAGAGAAGAATATGTCTTTTAAAGATGACCCCTGTACTGAAGGCTTAATGGTTGTGATGTTCGATTCTCTTTCGTAAAGTGTGATTTTTTTAAATGGTGAAAGAAGGGAAAAATATGATTTTTTTTTTTTTTTAATATGAGACTTAGGATGGTTATTGAGGAATAAATAGATAAGAAATGAGTACCATTCTCGGAGCTGAGAATAGGAATAGATGACAGCACTAGGGTTTTAGATGAATTCTTTGTTTTGGGGAAGGCTGGCAGGCAGTTCTACTCTTGGGAAAGGAAACACCTCAGAAGCACCTGTCCCACTCACTGTCAGGTGTCAGGTTCATTAGTATGGCAGCAAACTGGAGGACAAAAGGGAATCTAAAATCCTGGAATCTAGGATTATTCTTGTACATGTCTGATTTGAAAACAATGCACTGATGAAGATAAAATGGAATATATGCTGTAATTCCTTACAAGTGACAAGCACAGTATGCATCCAGGGAAGTAAGGGTCAGTCTTGGTTTGTAATAAAAAAAGGGAGAGGTTTGACCATATTTTGTTTTTCAAGGAGAGAAAGCTTTGCTAGATGATGATATATCATAACCAGGTCCAACAGCCTGAGAGAGGTGAGAGTGCTGCTACTCCATGTCCAGCAAGTAGTGAGGCTGAAGGTGTATTCAGCAGGCACACACACACAAAGCACATACATATATATGTGTGTATACGTGGCTGGCCAGACAGATCACAGGCAGACACTCAGAGCACCAACATGAACACAGGCAGCACCAGCAGCCTCATCCAGCTCTTCCCTACGGCTGGACAGGATGGAAGTCCACAAGTAAGAATATACATAGACACATGTACAAGGTGGATCCCTCCAGCAGCTGGGCTTAGACACTCAGCCCAGTAGCTGTCACATATGGACACACAAGTCACATAATCACAGAATGTCAGGGATTGGAAGGGACCTCGAAAGATCATCTAGTCCAACCCCCCTGCCGGAGCAGGAACCTAAATGAGATCACACAGGAAGGTGTCCAGGCGGGTCTTGAATGTCTCCAGAGAAGGAGACTCCACAAGCTCCCTGGGCAGCCTGTTCCAGTGCTCTTGTTACCCAATCCACACACACGCACATGGCTCTCAGGCTACATTGCATACTCACAGGCTGGTCCACTTGATCTTTGCTAGCCATCGCACACTTACACACCCATACTCACTCCACTTGCTGGCATCATGGACACATGGGCCCTCCTACCAATGGTCTGACCCCAGCTGCTGCTTTCACACCCCAATATGCAGACGTGAATACAGAATTGAAAGCCTTCACCCAGGAAAGAGTCAGAAAATAATTTAATAAGAAGACGAGAGAGATTGTGCTGATGAGGCACAGGGCACGGCCAGACAGGCGTACTGACCAGCAAGCTGTTTACCTGTGCCTGGCCCTTGCTAGCCCCTTACACCTCTATTTTTCCTCTCTTGTTTCTCCCCAAATCACCTAAACACCTCCCTTGCTCTGCCTTTTGTTCTTTTGCTAAATATCTCATAAGTCCTTTGCAATTCCAAACTGTTCTTCCCCTGCAGCCCGTAATACGTCCCACCCCTAGGCAGTCACTCCCTTAGTCCAAAAGGTGATCTGGAGAGCTGCTTCTGGTGACGCTGGTGGTGGGTTTCATTCCTGGACACATTCCAGACAAGGTGCTGGTTCCTCTGGAATCCTCAATTTGGGATCCTGCATGCCATTGTGCTCCTCTGGGCTTGGGTAGATGGGCCTTTGGTGGGCTGATGGACCCTGTGATGAGCCTGGGAGTAGCCCAGCAGGGTATATTTGGTCTCTCCCTCCTGCCATTGTCCCTTTGAGCTTTTTGTGGGTGTGCAGATGTATTTGTCACATAATGTCTCAACCTTAACTTGGGCTGTGGTTTCTGATGGGGCCCTGTGGGCACTGTGGCAGCATGGAGAAGCCAGGATGCTTTTTTTAAAGATAACCTAAAGGTGTAATTCAAGCAAGCTGGCGTGGAGGAGAGTTCAGCATGTGGCTCTGCCATAGCACTGTCCTGAGGCTTGTGGTCTGTTGCCTTCCCTGTCAATGTCTTTTTTTTCTTTCCTCCCCTTCAGATCACGACGGTTGTCTTGGGAGAGCAGGCTCTGCTGGGAGTGAGAATGCTCAGGATGTCCATCTGCCTGCCAAAACTGACCAGGGTGGTGCTGAGCCACAGGCTCAGGGCTCTGATTATCCTCGCCTTTAAGTTCACATCCTTTGCTTCCATCATGTTGTACTGGAGAATCACAGAGGACCCTAAGGGCAGGGGCCAGGTCTGCAGTTTACCAGTTGAAATCCACTGTGCTCACTTTGTGCCTTCTCCTCCGCACGCCATTGCTGACGTGCCACCTCCTTCCCCAGGGGATGTGTTTTTTGTGGAGACCTCAGAGCAAACTAGTCCAAGTTACCTGTTCACATGCTCTGTGGAGTCAGCGGCCAGGACGCACCCTGAGACAAGGGTCGTGGTGCTCATGAAAGGTTTGGCAAACAGTAACGCCTCCTTACCCAACCACTGGGGCTTTTCGTTGCTGAGCTGCTTCCCCAACGTGGAAATCCGGCCCCTGGACTTGCCAGAGCTTTTCTCTGGAACACCTCTGGCAAAGTGGTACTTGCAGGCTCAGCAGCGCTGGGAGCCTTATTTCTTACCCGTTCTGTCTGATGCCTGCAGAATTGCCATCATGTGGAAATTTGGTGGCATCTACCTGGACACAGATTTCATTGTGCTTAAGAATTTAAAGAACCTCACCAATGTGCTTGGTACCCAGTCCAAGTATGTACTGAACGGAGCCTTCCTGTCCTTTAAGCCCAAACACAAGTTCATGGAGCTTTGCATGAAGGACTTTGTGGAGAACTACAACAGCTGGATCTGGGGGCACCAGGGCCCACAGCTCCTAACACGTGTCTTCAAGAAGTGGTGCTCCATGAGGAGTCTTCGGAGCAGGACGAGCTGCAAAGGAGTGAGTGCTCTGCCCCGTGAGGCTTTTTATCCCATTCGGTGGCAGGACTGGAAGAAATACTTCGAAGTGGTCAGCTCCTCAGAGCTTCACCACCTCTTTAATAACACCTATGCAGTGCATGTGTGGAACAAGAAGAGCCAAGGGACAAGGCTAGAGATCACATCCCAGACATTGCTGGCTCAGCTGCATTCTCATTTCTGTCCTGCCACGTACGATATCATGAAGAAGGACTTCCAACGGTAGTGACTCAAGGGTCAGCTAAGAGATGTTGCCCGGGAGCCCACAACTCTACAACTGTTCCATCTCAAATGAACCTTCTTTTGAAGTGAGGTGGTGGGAGTTGAGGATAAAAGCCATTTGTGGGTTGTACGTGGAGCCTGTAGCTTCAGCTGATGTCTGTGCAGCTCTTTGGAGTTTAACTGTCTACTAGCAACATTGTGGTTCTCTGCAGGACCTTTCTTCTGCTCTGCTTGGTCAGGTAGAGAAATCTCAGAAGGGGAACAAGTTCTGGACCACTTGTGGCAGCCTCCATCAGTCTTTCAGAGGAGTAAGGCCCTTTTCCATGGCTGTAAATCTGGAAGAAGCCTTTGTATAAATGCACGTCTCATCGCCTGATTCTCAGGACTCCGAAGTGCTGTCCTCAAAGCAATGAAAAGATGGGAGAGTAAAGAACATGAACTGGGGAGGAAGTTAAGGATGTGCTAGAGGAGATGTCTTGAGAAAAACGTAGAGCAAAACAAAGGAGAAAGAAAGGGCTAAAGCAACTTCTTTTTCTTTTCATTCCTTTCTCTTCTGAAGCCTTTGGTGGAAGAGACCTTCTCATGTCTGGTTTGAGCAGGGAGCAGGATGCTGCAGTCTCTGTTCAATGTCATAGATCTAAATACAGGGAAATTTGGTGCAAATCAGAACATGAGGATCTGAGGCCAGCTCCTCATTTAGAAGGAGCTCTTGCACAGCAATGTTTTATTTTATATTAGTGGCAAATTAACACCCTGCAATGAACAGGAGAGCTCATCCAAATCAGACCTTAAATTGCATCTGACACAGGAAGAGCTGAACTGTGTTTTATACTGAGTTTGTCGCTGTGACCAAATGCCCATAACTGCATCTAAGATCCACCAGATCTTTCAGCACTTGGATGGATCCAAAAGGAAAAGCATATTTCCAAAGTTACAGGGAGCTTGGAGCTTGGTAGGTAACCTGTACTGTCTAAATTTAAGTCCATTTATGAGTCATTTATGGTAGACCTTTTAAAGTAGCCTGGAGTACTCCTGCAATTTACTGTCCAGCAGTACAGATCTCTCCAGGGAGGTCCTGAGGAGGGCAGTGGAAAGCTTTACTCTCTACCTGAGCATCTTCCTGAATTGCAGTGGAGAAAGTCAGCATATCTCTCACAAGGTGCTGTTGTGCCTTTGAGGATTCTCACCACAGAGGCAAGTTTGTCGGACAAACTGTGGGAGAAAACTTGTCCCTTGCCTTGATGGCCGAAAGGATGTATTGATGCTCTTGCAGTTCTTGTCGGAAAATAATGGAGAAAGAGTGGTGAGAAACAAGAAAAAGGTCGAGACTGTCAGCATTGTTACATCTGGTCCCCACCGCACTCTAAAGGGGATTGCTGAGGCAAATGAGCTTGGCACTATGCTTGGGTTAATGCAGATGAGGAGAGCATTGTCCACCCCCTCTCCTACACCGCTAAGAGATTATGATCTCACTGTAAAATCTTTTCTGCTTCCAGTGTGCATCCTCTTCTTACATATAGGAATAGCAATGGGGTGGTCCAGTGTCCTCTTTGACGACCATGAGTCAGTCAGATCTTCAATGTCACCTGGACCCAAAGTGACAGCTCTCTCACGCGGTGCTTCCTGCAAGTCCTCTGAGTACTGAAATGATTTCTATATCTACAGTTGCCTGAGGCCTCTTCTGTTTCCCAGGTCAACCATAAGCAATGTGAAGTTTGCTCAGTTCAGCCCAGGCAATGGTCAAAAACGTAAAAGGATGTGCATGCAACATTTCTCCGTTTGTCTCAGGTTTATTTGTCTCTTCTTTGATGATAAAAAGGAGAAAGACAAGTTATCCATCACCTTTAAAAAACAGTTTGCTGTTCCTCAGGGAACATGGCTGTGGAAGGAAGGGGTGCTGGCTGCGCTGGAGTGAAGGCGGCACTGGAAACACCTCTCCAGTGGCTGATTCCACATGTCCCTTTGTTCTGCCCAGCTTTATGGTATATCCTAGAGGCATTCAGGGTTTTGAATATCTGCAGCCCTCTCAACACTGAACATCTTTAAGACCAAAGACTCTGTGGGGAAACGGCAGATCCTCCTGACTGTATAAGCATTCTTCAACACGCTAAGTGGTATAAATGGGTGCTGTTTTCACTCTCTGCTCTCACTGTCACTACTCTGGGTTGTTTTCACTGCTTTCTTTAGAAGCAGCTGCAACATTGTCAGCCCTGGCCTAGAATGTGGCCAGTGAGGCATGGTTTCTCCTTTTTACTGGTTCCTTCTGTTTTGGGCCCTTTAAGCTAAACACAGAATTAGTGAGCCTAGGAACCTCTACCAGAGATGGTTGTGATCATAAAGGCGTAACAGGACTCTGCTGTGGCAATACCATGAACTGATTATGGGAGTGTTTGGGACCCACTGCAATGAATATCTGGCTTGATGTACCATTGCTTATTCTAGGAAAGTGCCTTTTTGGATAAGTGTTTTTGTTGTTGGTTGGTTGGTTGGTTGGTTGGTTTTTTCCCCTGTAGAGTCAATGTTCTGAGGTTTGATAAGGAGAAAATCAAACCAAACCTTTTTCCCTTTATCTTGTGAAAGAAAAATAAATACAGTTTTTACTATTACTTCTCTCTGCCAAGATGTTCCATTTTGTTCTGCAAGGTGTTGGTGCTAGGTCTGAGTAATCTGTTAGTAATTATGCAGAAAAGCATTTTAAACTTGTGTCCTGAAGTGACTCCCTAAAATTAGGACAGTGGACTGAACATGAGAGAAGTTGAGCATAAGCACATGTGGGAGGAAGGCTCTGCAGACCATGACTACATGCCATCTTTGGGACTTGAGCAGAGGGAACAGAGGAACACACAATGTGTATAACTGATTCCTAATCCAACCAGGTATTGCCCCCAACCAGGTATTGCCATCATTCCTGACCTTGCCTGTGTCAAGGCATTTTAGTCTCACTCTGAAGGTCTAGATGTTATGGAATAGGAAACTCCATGAGAAATTGTGTTGTTTTTTTCCAGGGGTGATGGGCTGCAGCCTCCCTTAGTAGTGACAGTGTTTGTGCTCTTGTAGACACTCACCCTTTATATATTTATAAACATT